TGGACCTCAGCAGGCCTGCAAAAGCAGCAGCCTACCTGAAGGGGCATCAAGAGATGCAATGGTGCACTTCTTGGAGGAAATCCTGAGAGCTGGCTTCATTTCTAGACGTACATAAAAGTCTAGGGAAGGTTTTCGCTTTTGCAATCCCTGAATGGTACAAATGATTAATGTGCTAGACTGCTAACCAAAAGGTTGAAGTTCTAATCTTCCCAGAACCTTGGAAGAAAGGTCTGGCAATCTACTGTCCAAAAAAAAAATCCCTGGGAAACCCTATGGAATACAGTTCTACTCTGACACACATGGAATTGCCATGAACCGACCTGACAGTTAGGGAAGGGTGTACCCTAATAATGACCAAGATTCAATATCACAACTCTGGAAGCTCAGCAGCAGATTCAAACTTATGCAGAGAAGAGAAATAAATGTAGTGTTTCTTGTGCATTTACTTTGTTCACAATACTTAAAATAAAATCCTGTACATTTTGGAAGGGAAAGAAAACGTCCACAAGTCCTATTAGTACCTCTGACTTCAGTCTTAAGGACACTTAGAAAAAACAACCCAAGTGTCTACCAACAGATGTATGGATAAACAAAACTTAGCACATATATGCAATCCAATATGACTCAGTCATAAAGAGAAAGGAAGTTCTGATCTGTGCTATAACATGAATGAACCTTGGAAATATTAAACTATGTAAGAGAAATCAGACACAAAAATATGGTCTGGTGCCACTTATAGGAAATCTCTAGAATCAGTAACTACATTGTTGTTGGTGGTGTTAAGCTGTTGAGTAGGTTCCGACTCATAATGACCCTTTTAGATTTTCCAAGGAGCAGCTGGTGGGTATGAACTGCTAACCTTGTGGTCTGCAATCCAGTGTTGATCCTACAGCGTAACTACTCATAGACCAAAATTTAGTAGTAGTGGTTATTGGGGTGGAAGAAGGTGGAAGTTGAGAGGTATTATTTAAGGAGTACTGAGCTTATATTTGCTGTCTGTTTACTGTGATAAAAACCATTTGGAAGTGGGTAGTCCTTTGTAGTCTCCGTGTGGTGCTGTGGGTTAGTGTGCTGGACTGCAATGTCAGTTTGAACCGGAAGGTCAGCAGTTCAAACTCACCAGTCGCTCCTCAGCTATACAGGGTCTCTATGAGTTGGAACCGACTCAACAGCATTTAACAAAAAATGCTGATGGGTACACCACATGGTAAATGTAATTACTGTCACTGAATTGTATGCTTAAAAGTGGTTATGATGGCAAATGTTTTGTGATATAGATTTCACCAAAATAAAATGTATTTTTAAAGAAAACAAAAGGACACCTAATTGATGATGCATGGAGGGGGATTGTAACCATGGCAATGAAATGATATGATAGGATGAATGTAAAACTAATGTTCTCCCATGTAAACTATCACATAATTCACAATAAAACATTAAAAAAATAAAAATTGATACATGGGTGAGGCTGATAAATGGTGAGTAATTGTTATCAGGACTGACTGTGAGGGTTGGAAATGTAAAGGTAGATGTTTTGTAGTAAAGGGAGAGGAGTAGCTGATCTTGCAGTCTAGGAGCAGAGGGTTCTGAGACCATCAAGGGAGAAGAGTGGAGTGTGGAACCCTACCCAGAGAAGCAGTGATGCCTGAGATGGTGGCAGTGGAGCGATGGAGCAGCTGGGGACTCAAGACCCAGAGAGGGAGAGGGGCTGTATGCTGACGACCGGGAGGCAGGCTTGCGGGGTATATCCTTTGGTTGGTCGATGATGCATGGAGGGAATTATAACCATGGCAGTGAAATGATATACAATCGGATGAATGTAAAGCTAATGTTCTCCCATGTTAACTGTCACGTAATTTACAATAAAGCATTAAAAAAAAAAAACCTAAAAAAAATAAAAAAGAACACCTATAGCTTCCTTCAGCCCTTAAGACACCCTCCTGTTGTACCAGGCCCACCCCAGTGTTGCCTATATGGACATACATGATGGGGGGTGGGGGGGTGTCTAGGAAGCTCTAGGAACTGCAGCTCATTCCCTGGACAGGATAGAGGCCTGAAGGAGGGTATGCGGATAGTGTGACTCATTTATCTTTAACAGCTTCAACCAGGTGAGGTGGGGCAGTACTCCTAGCCTGAGGGTCTTTCTGGTGGAGGGAAGAGGAAAAGCATATGCTGAGATTTCCTGTACAGCATTCAGTTAAGGGAACTGAGATGGAGCAGGTAGAAGCTCTAGCCCTCTGGGTGTTTGAAACCCCCTCTGGGATCCTTCAGGACTCGTGGCAGACCACCTGCCCAAAGGTTCTAGTTTGTAGAGCAGCATCTGATATGAGATGGGCTTGACAGAGCCATGGTTCTAAGGTGGACTTTGAGCCAGAGACCGAAAGAGCCAGAGAAGAGCTTAGGGGAACCTGCACTAACCAAAGGCCTGACGGGGTCAGACACTTCACCTTCACACAGAATTAGACCAGGAGCTCCCACATGGTCTCCATGGTGAAGGTGGGGGCAAGGCTGCCGGGACTCAGCAAAGAAGCAGGAAAAGAACAAGCTGCCCTGTAGGCATGTCCATGACAAAGAATTTGGGAGAAAAGAGCCGGATGCCATGACAGAGAACAGGGAGGGGCCTTTCATCAGACAGATCAATGAGGAAGGGCCTCTCTGAGGACTTTGAACTGAGACCTGAAGGAATCAGCCAAGAGGAGATTCCAGCAAGAGGGAAAGAATCAGGCATGTCCAAGGAACCAAAAAACAGCCAGAAGCATACTAGAAGAGAAAGAGAAGAGCTGTGGTGCTGGATTTAGACTTTATCCCGTGTTCCACCTGCTTATTAGTGGAAGCTTTGTGGAGCTTTGATGCTGAACACATTTCAACAGAACGTACCGGGTAAGATGAACTTTGAAGAAAGGCCTGGAAAATTATTTCCAAAACACCCTGTGACTTATAATGACCAGATTATCAGCTGACCATGGGAATGATACAGGACCCGGTGGTATTCCTTCTAAAATGTCATTTTCTTTTACTTACCCACAATGCGTCAGGGCAGCAAACAAGAACAATACCCATGGCAGACTATATCAGCCACTGGGATAAAGCTGTGGACAAGACAGCCAGGCTCCTTACTCAGAGGGAATGTATAATATGGGGTAACAGACATCAAACATACAACATCAGTTGTGAAACATGTTTAAGGAGAAGGATATAATGATACAATAGCCCAATAGTGACCATTACAGATGGGGGATTCTAAGGAGGGCTGTTCAGAGGAAGTGAAATTTCAACAGATGTGTGAAGAAGTAAGCCAGGAGACAGGGTAGAGGAAGAAGTTCCTGACAGTCTAGAGCAGGCTGGGAAGGACAGAGACTGGTGTGAATAAGCACAGGGAAGAGTAGACGACAGTGAGGAGGGAAATAGAAATAAGACCAGCCATGAAAGGCACTGGAGGCTAAGGTGGGGTTTTGCTCTTCTTTCTCAGAGAAATGAGAGCTCTCAGAAGAATTCCAGACAGACATTGGAGGGTGGCAAGGGTGAGCTCAGTGGGAACGAGAACACAAAAGACAAGGAGACAACCTAACAAGAATAAATCTATGCTTTAGAACAGTCTTTTGGGCTTTAGTGTGGAGAATGGATTAAAGAAACCAAATTGTCTGTTTGGAGGATTTCCAGTTATTCAGGGGAGGACTGAGGATGGTCTGGGCAGTGCTGTAGTAGCAGAGATGTCCTCAGGAAGTAAAACAACAGAATCAAGTGATCAACTGAAAGAAAGGGGGAGATTGTGTGGTAGGCGCTCAGGGACACGGGGGCTAGAACTGAAGGGTGGCTTCCCTCCTCCAACAGCCAATTGTCTTTAAAATGTACCAGGCACCCCATTTCTCCAGAGAGGTGACTTTAAGTTTCATAGCACTTTACTGGTCCTGGATTTACTCACCAGGTGTGGTTGTTGTTGTTGTTAGATGCTGTTGACTTGGCTCTAAGTCACGGCAACCTTATATGTAACAGAAGAAAACCGTATCCAGCCCTGTGCCTTCTCTAAGTATCCACCAGGTATGCTGTGGTTGTCATCAAGTCAGTTCCTACTCATGGTGGAACTGTGTAGAGTAGATGCTGCGCAGGGTTTTAAGGCTGTGGTCATTGGAAGCAGGTGACCAGGCTTGTCTTCCTAGGCACCTCAGGATATACTTGAACCTCCAACTTTTCAGTTTTCAGTTAACCATATGCACCACTCAGGGACTCTATCCATCAGGTGTCCCCCACCTTAGAGTATATCTTTCTAGGTGTATCTGGGATACACCAGGTACAACCCATAGCTCCAAGTCACCCAGGTACCCATCAGGAGTATACATTTAGATCTCTAACTCCATTGGTTAAAAGTATGCTTGGCATTCAGAACATCAGAACATTAACTTTAATGACTTATAGTCTGACTTTGAAAGTTTCCCTGTATATACACAAGCTGTTTCTATGTGGTCTGGAAGAAAGGGGGTGATTTAAAATTCCTCAGAAGCTCTTTCTTCTTGTAAAGACCCAATACTATCAGATTGCCAGAGCATAAAGCCCAAGCAATGTAGCTAAATTCCCTGTGTGGTACAAATGCTTTAAGTCCTTGACCACTAGCTGAAAGGTTGGTGATTCAAACCCACCCAAAGGATCGTTGGAAGCCTGGAGATCTGCTTCTGACAATGCTATGGAGCGGTTCTACTCAGCACATGAGTCAGAACTGATTCAACAGCAACTCACAACAACGTGGTAAAAGTTGAGACTCTCAAAGCTGAAGGAAAGCCTACAGGTGCCTGAATCAAGGTGACTTATAACTCCTACAGCATCTCAAAGAAAGCTCACAGCCATGGTTTGAACAGCTGTGGTGATAAGGAACTCAAATAGCCTCCAGAGCTGTCCACTGCCTTCTCAGAAACCTCAAATGGTAAGACAGCTCTTCCCCATGAGCCATCATAAACATAAACAAACCAGTTCTCCCCATCACAACACCGAGCACATGGGTCACTTACCTGTGGGCACCGCTGGGTCTAGCATTGGCTTTTCCCATGTGTTAATCTGCTCCCAGGTGAACCCATTGGTCCCCAGGGCCACGCTATAACCACAGCCGCTGTAGTGCTCATCAAAGGAACAGCCGCCTGGGGACAAAGGAGATAGAGGTAAATACACCCTTGTGTCTGAGGACTGGTTCGTTACTTGTCGCATAGGCTCTTCATTTACAGCTTTGAATTTTAAACTCTGTAGAAGATTTAAAAAAAAAAAAAAAAAAAAGGCAAGCAAATTGGATTTTTATATTTGCTCTGGTGCTCTCAGGAAAGGTGTTGGCATCTGTGAGACCCCCTATTTTAAAAAGTTAATAAGCGTAGTTACATTGATTTCTGTCTTTCTTCCTGAGAAAGTAAACAGCAGCGTCTCATTCTAAATAAAACAAATGAATACCAGGGCATGCTTCTATAATTGCTTCCTGCATCATCAGACACCAGGAAGAGCACCTGTGAAAGCCAGACACAACCCTCAGCTTTGCAAAGCTGCGTAAATTTGGGCTAGAAGCTTAATCCCTGCAAGTCTTAGTTTCCTGGCCTATAATATGGAAGGGAATCTTTAGCTTCCAGAACTATTATGAGGATTAAAAGTGGCAATATGAAAAGTAGCATGGGATAAGTGCTCAATGTCCACTTCCTTCCCCTTCAAAGCAGCCTGAAAATAATGTTTGATAAAACGAAAACTGAATTTGTAAAGAATGAAGAGTCATGCACCAAGAATAGGAGTCAGTGTTGGTGTGTTTAAAACATTTTCCTTTACGATAAAGTCCAAGTCAGCCACCATTTTGTAACAACATCATAGCAATTTTGACAAGAATTTACTGAGCTCAATTAGGAGGCTAACATCCCCTCAAAGTAACCGCACTGTTACCAGGAAAGTCAGAGAGATACACTGAGAGAGATGTGCAGTGTAGAAGCATAAAAGAGACAGAGCTCCAGTTAAGAAGGTCTGGTCTGTCTTGAGGAACAGACGCCCACTCTAACCTGGAAAAGGAGGGAGAAAAAGAGAAGAGAGGAACTGAACAGGGGCTTGAAGGACAGCATGGTCTCCATGGACAGAGAGCAGGACGAGGACATAACTGGATACTATGGATTGAACTGTGTTGCCAGAAAAGTTCCATTCAAGTCTTAACTCTTGGTACCTGTGAATATGATCTCATTTGCAAAATAGAGTTTTTGAAGATGCTATCAGTGAAGTTAAAATGAGGTCATAATGGTGGTGATGTGCAGTGGAGTTGGTTCCAACTCATAGTGACCCTGCATAGGGTTTCTGATGCTGTAAATCTTTAGAAAGCTCATCTATCTCACATGGAGCAGCTAGTAGTTTTGAACTGCTGGCCTTAAGGTTAGCATCCCAACTCATAACCACTATGCTACCAGAGCTCCTTAACAGTGGTGAATCCAAGTCCAATATAAGTGGTGGCCTTCTAGAAGAAGAGATAGGACCCACAGAGACACGGAGCCTTGAGTGCATCCAGAAGTCCAAGAACAAGGAATGCCAGTCATTCCCAGAAGTGAGGAGACTGGCATGAAGCTAAGTGTGCCCTGGGTTCCTCTGAAGGATTAATGCCACCAATGTCCTGATTTCAATCTCTTACCTTCCAGAGCTATGAGACAATAGACTTCTGTTCTTAAGTTCCTGTTAAGTGGCGTAGAGTCAGTTCTGACTCATAGCAACCCTGTATAGGGTTTCTGAGAAGTGGCTGGTAGGTTTGAACCACTGACCTTGTGACTCTCAGTTAAGTGCTTATCCTACAGCACATCACACCAGGACTGTGTTCTCATAAGTCATCTAATGTGTGGTCCAATCAGTCCCTGGGTTATGAATGTACACTTTATGCACAGCTCATAATAAGGAACTATCCCTGGAAAAGGCTACTACACTAAAAATGTAATAACAAATGGGCACTACTTTGTGATGCTCATCAAAATATTATTATTATCATTATTGCATTATTATGGTAAAGATATGTTACTATATCTGGAAATGTTTTTTGTTTTTGTTTTTTATTCTTTTTACCATCAAATCACTTCATGGCTCACAGGGATCCTGCACAGGGTTTCTAAGGAGCAGCTGGTGGGCTTGAACCATGGACCTAGTGGTTAGCAGTCAAGTGCTTATCCTACAGTACCACACACCAGGACTCCCTTTTATGCATATTGTTGTTGTTGGTTCCGACTCATAGCCACCCTATATAGGATTTCTGAGGAGCAGCTGGTGAGTTTGAACCACCAACCTTGCTGTTCAAACTGAACTTGTGATCCAGTGTTTACCCTATAGCGTCACACCAGGAATCCCATTTTTTATTCATAGAAAGGTACAATATATACTAAGACAAACATTTGACTCACTGACATTGGCTATGATGGTGGGACTGTTGTACAGGGCAAGCTGGCATGGCGGGGAAAGGCCAGGACAATTCTACAGCTGCTCTGAACTGGTCTTGTGGACCCCCAACACACATCCCATTTCTTCATCGTCTCTTAGATTCTCAGATCACATCACCATCCTCCTCTAAATAGTCACTAGCTCCCCATCACGCACAGAACCACATCTCCACCCAGTCCAATGTTAGGAACAATCTGCGTGAACCCTGCCGGAATCTGCAGTCTCCTGTAATGTCATCACATCACTGTTTCCACCAGCTTGAGTGCACAAAACCCTCCTCTGCAACCCAGAGCAGGGACTTCTTTAGGTTAGTCGTGGTGGAGGTTCTACTGACGAATGTGACACAGAATACAGTCCCGCTGCTGCTGAAGAAACCCTGGGAGTTCAACACTTTCTCCACTTTGCATTCTAGTTAAGTATAGAAACTCAGAAGACTCAGTCTTTAATATCTCAATGAATCTTGAATGGGGCAAAAAAGGTCTAGACTCTTGGGTGGTGAATTAAGAATATGGAGTCAGAACCAACTCGAAGGCACTTAGCAACAAAAACAACAACAATAAAGTAACAGACATTTGAGGGTTCTAGGTAGACAACTGGAGTCGTGGTGTGTGGTACTGTAGGATAAGCACTGGCTTGGTAACTGCAAGGTTGGTGATTCAAACTCCTCAGGAACCCTATATATCAGGGGTGGGGAACGTCCAGACAACACGCAGTATTGCTGATGTTGTTAAGTACCGTCGAGTTAGCTCTGACCCATAGTGACCCTGTAAAGGGTTCCAAGGAGCAGCTGATGAGCTTGAACCACCAACCTTGTGGTTCAAACTGACCTTGCAGTCCAGAGCATTAACCCACAGCACCACACCAGAACTCCACAGGCAGTATGTTGTTGTTGTTAAATGCCATCGAGTCAATTCCGACCCATAGTAACTCTGTATAGGGTTTCCAAGGAGCAGCTGGTGAGCTTGAACCACCAACCTTGCAGTTCAAACCACTTTGCAGTCTGAGGCATTAGCCCACAGTGCCACACCAGGACTCTGCACAAGTAGCCATTCGTCTGGCCCTGCCAAGGCTACCACAGTTCCAGCCATCACTTCGGTGGTGGTGATAGTGTGCCATGGAGTCAGTTCTGACTCATAGCCACCCTGCATAGGGTTTCCAAGGCTGTAAATCTTTACAGGAGCAGAAACCCTCATCTTTTTCCCATGAAACAGCTGATAGTTTCCAACTACAGCCTGACTCGTACCCACTACACTACACTAACCAGAGCTCCTTAGCCATCAAATTAGGGCTGAGTCAATTAAATGTTTGACCAAATATAGCAGGCTAATTTTTAAGCTGATAATTTTCTATGGCCTGCGATGATGTAAATTTTGGCAGAAAAGTTTCCCCACCCCTGCTATGCAGGGTTGCTATGAGTCAGAACCACCTTGACAGCAGTTAACAACAATAACATGTAGACAGCTGGAGACAGACAGAGAGGGAGAAGCAGGATGAAGAGTGGAAACCCACAAAAAGTAATGTACATGCGTTATTTAGGAACTAGTGTATCTTTTTACTTTCACTTATTCAATAGTCAGTAATTTGACAGTTATTGAATGGATCATTTAATACAGACCAGACACAGCACTAAGTACTGCTTATCCAATAGTTTATAAAAGCAACACACTTGCTATTTACTGAGATGGACTGACAATAAATAAGTAAACTAATAAGCAATTATACATTTTAGTATGAACTGTGGAAGCTGACATTGTTGGGGTTGGGAGAGAGGATCGGAGTGGTCCAGGGGAGCCTTTCTGACCATGAATTAGAAGAAATCATGACCTGCCACAACACCCCACTCAGTGAAGAAAGTGTCTACACACAACACAACAGCCGTGTGACAAAGAGCAATGAAAGATACAGATTGACAAGGGTCTACAGGCAAAGATGAGGAGACTTCACCCCACATTTGCAAGGGTACATCAAAAAGTACTACTATAAAATCATAGAAACATCTACTAAAGGAAACTATCAAAACGGGAAGCTATTGTTTCTCAACACATCCTCCATCTAGGTCTATACAATTCTGAAGACTGTGTTTACATATCTCTCTCTCTGGTAGCTTAGTAGTTAAGAGACAGGCTGTTAACCTCAAGGTCAGCAGTTCGAAACTATCAGCCATTCCGCAGGAGAAAGATGAGGCTTTCTGCACCCGTAAAGATTTACAGCCTCAGAAACCCTGTACAGGGTCACTATGAGTCAGAATCAACTCCACGGCACACCACCACCATCACCAATCCTTGCCAGGAATCCTGGTGTGGTGCTTCAGGATAATACTCTAGAACACAAGGTCAGTTTGAGTCATAAGGTCAGAGGTTCAAACCCACCAGCCACTCCTCAGAAACCCTATACAAGGTTGCTATGAATCCAGACTGACTTGAGGCACTTCACAACAACAATCCTTCCCAGACAAATTCTGTGCTCTTTGATTTACACTGCATCAAAACGGCAATTTTGGTATACTCCAGGGATTCAAACCATGTTCCTCGGAAACGTTCTTCGAGTTTGGGGAACAAAAAGAAATCTGAAGGGGCAAGATAACAGTTATAGAGTGGATGGCTAAGGTTTCCCAGTGAAATTCTCATAGGAGCCCTTGGAAGCCTCTAAGAATGAGCAGGTGTATTGTTGTAATGGAAAACAATTCCTCAGCACAACTTTCCCGGCC